TTAGTTTTAGGAATTTTTAATGACTTCCAGACTTGTGGCTGAATATTGACTTCAGAGCAAATGTACATAAATCAATATGTCCTGATCGACACACACTTGAAATGGGCGCCAGGAAATACAGTAAAGTCCTCCTTAAGATCATACTGATAGATATAAAGTATTGTCAGTATGAAATGGGCAGTCATAAATTTACAAGAACTGATATAAAAGACAATGGGATCTTATGAAAGAGAATATGTTTAAAAGAGAATATGTTTAAAATACAATGTACCACAATTATGTACAATGTTACAACATATATTCAATTGACAGTGAACATTGAAAGAAGAGCAATAGTGGAAGTAGCAAATGGTACTAAAAAGTGTTGCTAAGCAACACACATATACATTATAATATGATCAAACTATTGTTCACAAGAATCAAGATATGAATAATTTACTTGAGTATTTCCAAAGAATAATGTTAAAAAAAATTTCAAACTGTGTGGACAAAGAATTGAGTGTTCCTGCTGCCTGTGATGTTTTGCCAAGTTGGATGTGAAGGATGATTAACCTACAACGATGGCAAGTTTGGCAGTTTGATGAACACGACAGTGCTACTGACGATAATTGTCAGACTTTGGTGTATGACATAAAAACGGTTATTGATCAACAATGTCTGTGACATGAAGGCACGTTTTCAGTGGGTGGGTATAATGTTCACAAGTCGTTACAGTTCATATCCTGGTAAACCCGAATGTCCATCAACTTTAAACATTTCAGCTGCTTATGAAACGTGAGAAAGTGAGTAAAAACTATTCAATGGGCATGAAAAAGTAATGTATAATTGTTCAGAATAATTCTTCTTTTTTCAGGACAGCTTTCATAACTTTGTAAAATTAAAATACATATTAAATACAAATTGAGAATTTGAAAAATAAATTATTACCATTTGCTTGAAACTGTTAACATGAGAGATATTAATGAAATAGTCTCAAATTATACTAATTGCATTTATTTTACTTCTTTGTATACACATTAACACGTTGACTGCCTATCACGAGTATACTCGTAGTATCAATTTTGCCCGAAGTTGCCATTACAAGTTATCTCGTAGTGGCAAAATGGTATTTTGAAACAAGTTCCACATGTTGGCAAAATAGGCACAAGAAACAAACGTCTCCTGGCGTTCTTTGTTACCACCAGGAGACGATTGCTTCTTGTGCGTGTTTAACCAACATATGAACCTGTTTCAAAATATCATTGATGCAGCTACGAGATAACTCGTAGTGGCAAATTCGGCCAGACATTGATACTACGAGTATACACGTGGTGGCAGTCAACGTGTTAAGAAACAACAATAAGAACATATCAGATCATACCAGTACATAACATGATAAATATTCTCATCTTGTTTGATTTACAGATGTTAATAATCTTACACAAAATTTATAAACTATCATCACCTATCACTAGTGAAGGTAAACACCACCACAATGTCATCAGATGCATACAATGTCAAGACTGAGCAGATTATTGATGTTACTGGATGGAGTTTAGACGGGGTTTAAATTGAGCTTAATGACCAAGTCGAGGGATGGGATTTGCTCAGTTGATGCCTTCTGAATTCTGTTGGGATTGTTAGCCATAAAATATGTACAAGACAAAAAGACATTCTTTAACACAGAATAACCAAGACACCTTCCGGAAATGCTGGATAAAAGTGAATCTTACATTTACCACTAATTAAATATGTCATTTGTGATAAGACAAAAACCTGAACCTAAGTTTAAAAGAAAACCCATATTCCAATTTGAAACAATAACGAGCATGCAGAAAACACACATCATTAACACAACAATGAGGATTAGTTCTGATGTATTCCGTATTTCTCCATTGAATCAAGGTAAAATGAAACTCAACAACACCTTGAACAAAGACACAATTCTATCCTTTCAATACACTGTTAGTATCAGGTATATCAACAGCTTAAAACAATTGGTCAGAATCACATGTTTACAAGTTGATAACAACGATATTGTCCCTGGATACCAACAATATTCCTGTAATACTTCCACGGATCAAACGTTTATAACTGACTTCACAAGGACAGAACCTATACCTGTTCTGTTTTAACGGCATACTTGCCTGAAGCATTCCACAAAGTGATCTTAGTGCTGAGGTGATCATAATTCCCATACCTTAACACAGACTTCCGTCTGTTGTAGCGCAAAGGTTGCTTTGTATAATGGCACCCTGGGCCTATTCCACAAAGTGATCTTAGCGCTAAGGTGTTTGTAATTCCCATACCTTAACACAGACTTCCGTCTGTCGTAGCGCAAAGGTTGCTTTGTACAACGGAACCCTGGGCCTATTCCACAAAGTGATCTTAGCGCCACAATAAGCTAAAGTTAAAGTATGGGAGTTAGGATTGTCTTAATGCTAAGATCCCTTTGAGGAAGGGGGACCATATAATTCAAGGGGATAAACGTGGCCAAATTGTTAACAATTGATCAAGATGGAACAACCCTGTTCCACAAGACAATCTTAGCGCTAAGACTAGAGTTGTAACTCCTATCCTTAACATAGACTTACAACAGTTGTAGCGCTTCAATCCCTTCGTGGTATGGGCTCCAAGGAGCAGCTGTACAGAGCAATCTTAGCGCTAAGGGATCATAACTCCCAAAGCTTAACATGGACTTATGACAGATGTAGCGCTTCAATCCCTTCGTAGTATGGGCTCCAAGGAGCAGCTGTACAGAGCAATCTTAGCTAAGGTGATCATAACTCCCATGGACTTATGACAGTTGTAGCTTTCAATCCCTTCGTGGTATGGGCTCCAAGGAGCAGCTGTACAGAGCAATCTTAGCGGGTGATCATAACTCCCAAACCTTAACATGGACTTATGACAGATGTAGCGCTTCAATCCCTTCTGTATGGGCTCCAAGGAGCAGCTGTACAGAGCAATCTTAACGCTAAGGTGATCATAACTCCCATACCTTAACATGGACTTATGACAGTTGTAGCGCTTCAATCCCTTCGTGGTATGGGCTCCAAGGAGCAGCTGTACAGAGCAATCTTAGCGCTAAGGTGATCATAACTCCCATACCTTAACATGGACTTATGACAGATGTAGCGCTTCAATCCCTTCGTGGTATGGGCTCCAAGGAGCAGCTGTACAGAGCAATCTTAACGCTAAGGTGATCATAACTCCCATACCTTAACATGGACTTATGACAGTTGTAGCGCTTCAATCCCTTCGTGGTATGGGCTCCAAGGAGCAGCTGTACAGAGCAATCTTAGCGCTAAGGTGATCATAACTCCCATACCTTAACATGGACTTATGACAGATGTAGCTCTTCAATCCCTTCATGGTATGGGCCCAAGGAGCAGCTGTACAGAGCAATCTTAGCTTAAGGTGATCATAACTCCCATACCTTAACATGGACTTATGACAGATGTAGCTTCAATCCCTTCATGGTATGGTCTTATGGGTTCTCCCATACCTTAACATGGACTTATGCAGCTGTACAAGGAGCAATCTTAGCTAAGGTGATCATAACTCCCATACCTTAACATGGACTTATGACAGATGTAGCGCTTCAATCCCTTCGTGGTATGGGCTCCAAGGAGCAGCTGTACAGAGCAATCTTAACGCTAAGGTGATCATAACTCCCATACCTTAACATGGACTTATGACAGTTGTAGCGCTTCAATCCCTTCGTGGTATGGGCTCCAAGGAGCAGCTGTACAGAGCAATCTTAACGCTAAGGTGATCATAACTCCCATACCTTAACATGGACTTATGACAGATGTAGTGCTCAGTCTGTTTAGTACAACAGCTCCCTGGTGTCCAAAGCAAAGCGGGGATACAAATACATGTATTTTCAAAATGTTCAGGAGTTCCCTTTGGAATTATAGTAATCCAATGAGACCATCAAACTCAGCTGAGTGAGTATGGTTTCACCAAAGCTAGATACTATGCAGTTGAATATTAGAAAGTTTGTTTCTTCGTTTTCATTGAGATTAGCAACACTATTCTCAATTTCTATACATTTTGTGAATCATACTGTGTTTTAAACATGTTCACCATTATTTTAACTGTTTGGAACATTTATCCTGTATATTTGTGGTTTCATATTATAAACGTCATCACAATGTTGATGAAAAGAACATAATTGCTAGATGTCCTTCAGACATGGTACGAACATTAACAATGCTATTGGGATATTAACCAAGCTGTCTACACTAAAATACAGGGAATTTTTAACCATGCAAAACAGGATGTCATTATGGTACAAATTTCTCCCAGCTATCAACAGGCATACAACATAGCACAGTCTACAAGCAGATATTGCAGAGTAATCTCAAGTGAAGTGATTATAAAACATTAAGATGGTATATCAAGCCTCATAAATCACAACCCCATGATTGTTGTGGGATATTAAGTTAATCTTTCAGTAACTCATTATACTTAACAAGTCGTATGTTCACATAATCATGATAGTTTCTCTCATGGCTATAAATAGCTGTCATACGTGGATTTAACATCCAGGTTACACGTAATGCTTGATGAATCTTGCCTATCACATACATTGCAGTGAGCCCGTGTAACAAAGACGGTTTAGCATGATACAGTATGGCAGTGGCTTCAATACAACACGATAAACCATTCAGGGATACAAGGGAGTCTTGGGCAGGTTCCTGTATCTCCACACCTCCATCAAACGTTGTAAATACTCCTGGGATATGCATACACTATATGCCTCCTTCATGGCCACTTATGCAGTGTTGTCACCATTTGCAGTGAAAGAGTGAGTGAGTGAACAGTTTTATGCCGTTTTTAGCAATATTCCAGCAACATCATGGCGGGGGAAACCAGAAATGGGCTTCACACACTGCACCCATGTGGGGAATCGAACCCGGGTCTTTGGCGTGACAAGCGAACACTTTAACCACTAGACTAGACTAGACTAGACTAGACTAGACTTTAGACTAGACTAGACTAGACTAGAAACACACGCCACCCACCCAACCAACAGTGAAAGAACCAAATGTATTTATTGAATTGATGTGAAGAGTTCCTGCAAGAAGTAAGTGCTCAGACCAATGAGAGCTCTGCTTGCCTGTTGCATGACATGTGCAATAGCCTTGCTGTATGGGGGTTACTTCTATATATTGCTTTAATGTGTGGCAGTGGTAGGTGTACTTTACGTCTTTCAATAGCAGAAAGAAATGATTCACATTCCAGGTAAAATTTAAAGATGTCAGCTTCTATATTTACAAGTAACACATGCTTGGAGTAATGTATCTTACTCTCACCTGATGAAGGAGTAAACATATACTTATATCGTTATAACAAAGAGGTTGACATCCACAAATATTACCTGTTTAGGTACATTTGATTTCCATAAATTGTTAATGGCATTATTTCAACTCCTTACTTAAATAGACACATGTCAATACTATATGGCAAACTGGTGGTACGTATTCAAGGATGATGTAGCATTTTTAAACCGGTGCTGAAGCAGCTCAAATGGTTTTCTGGGATTTGGGAACCTGCCAGATCCTCCTACCCATTGTATAAGCTACTCAAAGGTGATCACATGGTCACAATGGCCGCCAAGCATGGATACAATATGGATGGTGAGAAGACCTGGAAGATAAACTCACACTTGACCGAGAAGCAGTCATTTCTCTAACTATCCATTCTTGTAATGGATTCATCAGCTGTAGGCCTCATTAGCTATGTGTCAGCTGTGATATACCTGTGGACTATGATTTAAACCCTATTTGTTTATGCATCCATCCACTCGCTCACTCACTCACTCACTTAGGTACACAGCCCTATCAGGAGATTAATGGGTGCAATGGAGACAGATGCTAAATTCAGTTTGGAAAGATTCCCTTGTGTTTGGTTAAGGCCGCTTTTTGTTCCAATAATGCTTGTTCATGATTGTCGTGATGATGTTAATGTCAACAGCAAACACTATAACTGGTAACGGATTAATATCACTTCAGTTATTACATGTCGATTTCAAACATGTGATATGGTTTCTATTATCCAATGATTATTATTGGTGAAGACTCACATATAACTGTAATATTCACATGCATGCACTAACTTGACATTAACACAACATTATATTCTGCATTAATGTATGTTCCTCGACATTCAGGGTAATTTCATTTCTCACAATCTCACTTCATCAGTACGTATTACAGGAACATATTTGTAATTCTAACAATTTCATCTCCAACTACGATTATTCTCAACAAGTGGAACTGAACCTCACAACAAACTGACAAACCCTGTTAATATAGCTAAAATGGCTCAAAAATCTCAAATAAATATTTCACAATTCATCTTGAGCTGTGCTTCAAATATGGCCATCAATTGGGGGAACCCTATCAAAGGGCATCACGTGCTTGCCTCTTGTGGAACAACCATTTTCTGATGCCCCAGAACTGCCCATTGTCCCTGAGGTCCTACTCGGGTTCTCGATCGTCGGTCGGAGGTTTTGGTGAAGCGGTGAGTTGCTGGAGGACGGTGAGCCACTCAAACTTCTCTTGCTCGTCTTTTGTCTGAAGAGTGACACACTTCCCCTTGCGATCCTTCAGACACAACCGATATCTCACACTCTTAGCCTTGGTCCCCATGCCTGGAACATAATGATACACAGTGGTTACAATATCATGCAAGTCAGTGTTTAAATGTGCTGGCTAAGTGGGTTAGATCGCTGACTTCGTGTGCTGAGATTAGGTGCCTGACTTTGAAAGTGTGGGTTCGAATCCCATATAGGATTGGAAGTATGAGCATTAACAGACATCTTATGAATGCATTACCATTTCTCTTTGTCACCACCTCTAAAAACAATGCATGGGATGCACATACACAACACAGTAGCCCCATACACGTGCACGGGGTGTCAGACAGACAGACAGACAGTTTATTTGCGTAATATCGGCCTAATGGCCTATAATACAGTTATACAGTTATATAAATTGATGTACAGTGGTCAACTGGATCCAGCTCTTGTTTGGAATACATTATGCAGAAATAAAGCAGTGAAATATATTACCTGACTGTTTCTTGATTTGAAAATAGATTCTAAGGTTAATGGACCTCTATACACTTTTCGAAGTTGTACCAAATATTTTTCACACCAACAATCGTAATATTTATATTAAAAAAAGACCTGATTCTCGTCTTCAACTTCCAATGCATTACATACAGTGCACAAATAGTCTGTTATGGGGATATCTTTTTTACATCTAAATTTGTTTATCTTCAGACTGTTATGGGAAATTCAGAATTTGCAGTACGCACGTATTAAGTATTTGTTTTTCAATTCAGTGATGTACGGTTCCAAGTGAAGGTCATATTTAAATTGTGAATAGTGGCTGAGAAACGTTGAGCTGCAAATATCATTATGCCAAGTCTGGTAGGCTATATCTTTGATGCGTTGTTCAAACGTTAGGATGAATAGCTGCACATCGCCAACACCTTGGTTTAACCATACATGTGAAAATCTGTTTTCGAATAAAATAGATCTCAAATTTGACACCCAATTAATTTTGCCCATATCGTCAAAAGTTTTAAGCATCTTAAAACACTGTATGGGATAATGTTGTTGATTCATGTGTAGCAGTTTAAACCAAAACTTAATTACTTTGATCTGGCTAAAGACAGACATTGGATAACGTCCAAGTTCACCGAGGATAGCCTTGTTAGAAGCAAATTTTCCAATTCTGAGAAATCTTTTAAAATACATCATTTGAATCCTTTCAACTGAATCTGAATATTTGTGTCCCCAAATTTCAGCTCCATAGAGTAGTAGTGGTGCTATCTTTCTATCAACAATAATCCGTGCCGTAGAGTATGTAATTTCCTGTTTTTTCTTAAAGATTCTAAACACTGAAAGACAGGCTTTGTTTGCTTGTTGTGCAAGAGTTTCACACGCCTTTGCCGTTATTAATCTTGATGAATACACGATACCAAGATATTTATAGTAAGTTACAACCTCCATAGGCTGATTACCGAAGAACCATTTCTCCGATTTCGCCAGAATATTTGACTTTCTTAAATTCAACTCCAATCCCTAATTTAAACAGAATATCTCCAGGAGCCTTAGTTGTCGTTGCAGACCAATAACACTAGTGGCAAAAAGAACGATGTCATCAGCAAACATTAGTAGCAGTAGATCTTGTATATCGTGGGTAACGAACAGTCCACTGTTACAAGACATATACAGTTCAGTGGCAAATTCATTAATAAAAAGTATAAAAAGTACGGGACTTAGGATACATCCTTTCAAGAATGTTGATAAATCACTGTAAACCATTTTGACACTCATCTTGCATCACACATTCATTAGTGTTTGTTTCTAGCTGGTTTTGTTGGGGGTTTTTTAAACTGAAAATCGTACACATAGAAGTTTCACGTCTTACACCAATCATCTAACAAGAGCGATTACTGTACAAACAACTATGGTCATAAGGAAGTGCAAGTGGCGATGCACTCTCAAAACATTCATTATTATCACATCCACATTGATTGACTCCGATATATCTTCCATTTTTTTCAATTGTAAACTAAAAATGAAGTTCCCAAGTTTTTTAAGAGTATATATCTGCCAGCACAGGTTGCAGTGGACTCATGTTAAACAGAAATTCCTTTGGGGTGAAGGTGTGACTGAATGATGTTAGTATTTAACTTTATCAACACAGCTGGCAAACAAGTCTGGGCCTAGATTTTTGAAGCTCTCTTAGCGATAAGATAGTCGTAAGTTAATGTTAGTGTATGGCAGTTACGACTATCTTAGCGCTAAGAGAGCTTCGAAAATCTAGGCCCTGGACCAGGCAAAACAGTGACAGAAAATATCAGCAATGAGACCCATTTTGTCGAATCAAAGAGACTAGACATTTGATTCATCCTTTTTGATACAAAAATGATTATACCCATCAAGAATATCCACATTTGAAATTTGTCCTCTTAACCCACTTTTCCCCCCCAAATCCACACCCTGACAAAGTGGTATATACGATGGAAAAATTAAGATTATTAAGTTACTGTATAGTCTTACACCTTCAACTTACACCTTCGTCAAGCTTCCTGTAATTGACACTAATAAAGTAAGGCACTACCGATTACTCTGGTACAGATTCTAGCTTCAACACTGAAGCACTCTCACCTTTATTTGTAGCTGGCTTCACAGTTTCTGTGACGACACAGTTATCAAGACTCAACATTTTACTGTTGATCTGATTTTCACAACCCTGAAAAGTCAAGCATGACTATGAACAAGAAGGTCTCTCACACCACACCTAAAATGTCATCAATGTTATAGAAAGTGCTTTTGAGGTACCCATGCTGAACAATAGGGCTGCGCAATATAACCGGTTTACTGGTATTTACCGGTTCAGACATGAAAACGATACGTATTGCGATTCACTGATCAAAAACCGGTATTCTGACATGCATTCGGAAAACTTCGCAACACTCGGAAATCTTTGGATATTTCCGTTTTTTAAATTGTTCCTTTCCTTGTTTCATTTGTGCCAAACATTATTTACATTTTCATTTTGTCATAATTAAAAGTTTTTTATTAAAGCCTAATCAAGCATACTGATATTGTTGTGGTTTTGCTGAATAAATCAAGCATTAACTCGATTATAAGTAAATTTTTGTTTAAAAAAACTTCTTGCAATATATTGCAATACATATCGCAATATGTGCTTTCGCGTCGCAATATATCACAATATGAAAATTCTCTGCAATACCCACCCCTAGTAAATAACATCAAAGTAGCAGCTTAATACTGATCCATGTACTCGGTGTGAACTCCTACCTACATGCCAATCCAATTATGAGAGTGAGGGTGTATGCTGCTGTTAGCAATATTCCAGCAATAACACAGAGGGGAACACCAGAAATTGGCTCGTGCCCATCTTGGTCATGAAGGCACACAATGACTATGACATATATTAAATATGATGCTTCACTGTAACAGTTATGAGATGATGAAGTCCTTGAAGGCAAGAAAGGACTTTGCACATAAAGATTAGTATTGACATTGTAGCTATAGAGATAGACTGAAATCATGAGTCCCACATACCTCTGTATATGATGCCTTGTGGTAGTGTAGTGAAGACGGGTTCTCTCTCATGGAAGCTCTCACAAGTCTCCAGCCCTTCCGCAGGTTCTTCTGCATCATCATCATCATCATCATCATCATCATCATCACCACCATCATCATCATCATCATCATCATCATCATCATCATCATCATCATCACCATCACAATCATCATCATCATCATCATCATCATCATCACCACCATCATCATCATCATCATCATCATCATCATCATCATCATCATCATCATCATCACAAGCACAATCATCATAATCAAAACCACAATCATCAACACCAGTATCACAACCACCACCATCATCTTCATCATCATAATCAATCATCCAATCATGACTGAGTGAGTGAGTATGGATTTACGTCACTTTAAGCAATATTCCAGCCATATCACAGTGAGGGACACCAGAATAAGGCTTCACACATTGTACCCATGTGGGGAATCGAACCCAGGTCTTCGGTGTGATGTGACAATGCTTTAACCATTAGACTACCCCACCGCCCTAAAAACAGACAAACTATATTGTATATTGTTCTTTCATGCATGGATACACTTTAAAACAAAGCATTTCAAGCTGTGTCAACCCTGGTGCTTGTCAGTTTCCATTAATCTTTAATTAAGGAAGTGTATATACCATGAACACTAGGTGTTGGTATCGATCCCTTTCTGAACAAGGTAATGATTGTTTTAGTCATCATAACAATCATAAACATCATCAATGCTATTTTCTGATCATGTTGACATCAACAGTATAAATACCTTCTTCATTAGGAAGGACTCCTTTACAAGCTTTCCTTTCTTGACCTTTTCAACTTTGACCTCTTCCCGCTCGCCCTCATCCTCATCCTCATCAGAGGAGCTGGAGTCTTCATCAGTGCTGTCGTAGAAACTGTTCCGTTTTATCCCCAGGTTGATGGACGTCTGAAACGAGGGGAGAACCTTGTGTCAACAAATATACAACACATGATCTGATTGGCTAAACAAATATTTCTGTTGTGGCTGCATTGTCGTGATGAACAAAGTTACTGTTCCCTGGGGCGGTGGGGTAGCATAGTGGTTAAAGCATTCACTTGTCACGCCCAAGACCAGGGTTCGATTCCCCACATGGGTACAATGTGTGAAGCCCATTTCTGGTGCCCCCGGCCGTTATATTGCTGTAATATTAATAAATCTGCGTAAAATCCAACTCACTCACTCACTCACTGTTTCCGTGTTATTTCTCCAGTTAGCTGTGCATTAAAGACAAATGGACTGTCTGTGAAGTTATTGTTGAGGTATAAATCTATACCATTTGTCACATTGCTTTTTAGTTATGGAGTTTGAAACATAGAAATGCTGTGCACACACTAAGCAGATTTACAGTGAGTACACCCTTCCTCACATTTATACCTCCATAAATGCAAACTAAACTCATAGAAACGAATAAGGGAACACATGGAAATACAAGTGTTCCTTTATTTATTTCCAGAATTTCACTCGCAGTGCAATACATACCTTGTGAAGAAAACTGGAAAAGAATAAAGGAACACTTGTACTTTCATGTGTTCCCTTATACGTTTCCATAAGTATATATTGATGTCAATTCCTATTTTAGTCTATGAATGTAACTATTGCAGTGTTCGCGTTAACGCAAAAAACGGCGTGTTTCACGCAAATAAATCTACATTTAACGCATGATGTTTTCTACCTGCGTGTTTTGCACGCAAAGCAGTTTGTGTTCTGGAAACAAGTAAACCGAAAAACATATTTTGCCCAAGGAAGCAATAAAATAAAATAAAGTTTCTCTCAGTTAATTTGACCTGCAAATGATGTGAACATGCTCTAAAATGGAAGGAAATGACGTCTAAATTTCAAACTTTTTACAGGGGGACCCCGCACCCCCTAGAGACATCGCCGCTGTCTCGATCGGGCATACACCTACGGTGCATGCACATGCAAGATTCTTGGGGCTATGCGTTTTAGGAACACAAAGCTTTTTTCCTACCGCGAACACTGTATTGATTGAACAACTGATGCATGGCAATTGTCCAATATATCAACAGCGAGGTTAAAGGTCATCAGTTAACACTGAATGTTTCTAGAAGTTGGTGAGTCAATAATGAATACTACTTTATGAATAACAACTTATTGTTTATTGCATAGAGCGACGTTTCGATGTAGATTCATACACTGTTTTCAAGTGAGTGAGTGAGTTTAGTTTTACGCTGCACTCAGCAATATTCCTGCTATATGACAGCGGTCTGTAAATAATCGGGTCTGGACCAGACAATCCAGTGATCAACAGAATGAGCACTGATCTGCGCAATTGGGAACCAATGACGTTTCAACCAAGTCAGCGAGCCTGACCACCCGATCCTGTTAGTCGGCCTCTTCTTACGACAAGCATGGGTTACTGAAGGTTCATTCTAACTTGGATCTTCACGGGTTCGTTTTCAAGCTAAAATCTAGCTTGATAACGGTGTAACAATCTACACCGAAATGTCGCCTTTTACGCAATAAACAAGTACAGTCGAGCACCGTTATTGATATTCATGTGAGCAAGAAAAAATATCGAGTTATCTGAACTTCGAGACATATGGGCATATCATAACATATCACTATGAAAGAAAACAAAACGCTTCTATGTATGTTTTGATTCGAAACTATAATCCGTTATCAGTAGTGTTTATTCGTAACATATATACTTCCTAATTAATTCCTTCTTAATTAATCCTAATAAAATAACAAACAAGTGACACCTTCAACTCAATTAGCCCTAATTAGTTTACACTACCGCATCCCTTTGATTCATGCCACACCGTGTGTAAACAACCTCGGTTCAGAGGGATACTTGCCCATGATAGGTATTTGAATACCAAGTTAAAAAGGGTAATTTTGCTTGTTGGGACCATGAAATTATATCGAGATATCTGAAATATCGAGACATCCATATCGAGTTAAAAGAGCTTGAATAATGATAAATTATGAAGGATTTTGCCGGGACCAAGATGTTATATCGAGACAACCGAGATATTGAGTTATCAGAGTTCGACACAACAGTGCTCGACTGTATAACTGCAATGTGATCTAAACAAAAATCTATGAACAACTGATGTATGTGATGACATGTTTTATGGATTTTGACATTTTGTGTCATATTGGATGTATTATATTGCATATTTTCTCTCATGTTTGAGAATATAATGATAGAACTCAGTTTGAAGGCAAGGTTGGTTTTATTACAGGTTGCCTAAGCTTTTTTCATAGATAGCTTTTGCTTTTATTTTGTTTTGATAGCCTAGGTATTCGCTTTTGATCTGACTATCAATATCTTCAAAAAAGTATCACCATGAGCTGAAAGGCAGTCATATTTTGATATAGGCTTTATCTTATATTGTGAGTTTAGTTTAACGCCGCTTTTAGCAATATTCCAGCAATATCATGGCGGGGGGCACCAGAAATGGGCTTTGCACATTGTGCCCATGTGGGAATCAAACCCAGGTCCTCAGCCTTAAACACCTGAACCATAGGCTAAGCCACCGCCCTTATTATATTGTGAAGTAAGATGTACTGGAGGACAGAATCTCTTAAAGACATCAATAAACAGAAACATCCATATCCTGCATTGTTCTCTATTTACATTTGGCAATGTTCTGGCCACTATCACTGTTGATGTTGTCAGTAGTATGAATACATGGCATTACAGCATCAGTGTTAGATATAACAAGAAGACAAAGTCATCAATATCCCCCGCAATGGCAAAATACTCTTCATGATTATGTCTACGAGTTATGATTATGTCAAATATTTAGGTGTGTATATAGAAAAGTGGAAGGAGAGTATTGAAAGGTTTTTAAAGTTCTGCTCCAGAAAGGAGCACTATCACCAATTTCAGTTTTAGTCAAACTTGTTGCCATGGAAATGCCAAAAATATTTTATTCAGAATTCCAAAACTACCAAAAGGCACCAGTACACCACCAGACCAATCTATTGCCAAGTTTGGTGAAGAAATAGTGAATGGTTTTAGAGTTCAGCTCCGGAAAAGAGCACAACCACCAATTTCAGTCTAAGTCAAACTTGTTGCCATGTAAACGCCAAAAATATTTTATTCAGAATTCCAAAACTACCAAAAAGGCACCAGTACACCACCAGATCTATCTATGTGCCAAGTTTGGTGAAGAAATAGTGAACAGTTTTAAAGTTCAGCTCCGGAAAAGAGCACTACCACAATTTCAGGATAAGTCAAACTTGTTGCCATGGAAACGCCAAAAATATTTTATTCAGAATTCCAAAACTACCAAAAGGCACCAGTACACCACCAGATCTATCTATGTGCCAAGTTTGGTGAAGAAATAGTGAACAGTTTTAGAGTTCAGCTCCGGAAAAGAGCACTACCACAATTTCAGGATAAGTCAAACTTGTTGCCATGTAAACGCCAAAAATATTTTATTCAGAATTCCAAAACTACCAAAAGGCACCAGTACACCACCAGATCTATCTATGTGCCAAGTTTGGTGAAGAAATATTGAACGGTTTTAGAGTTCTGCTCCGGAAAAGACAAATGTGCACGGATGGACGCAAGCTCGGACGGAGTCCGTTTTAATACCCCCCGCAAAACGCGTTGCTGGGGATAATAAAGAATACAACTTTATGGATAACAACTACAGTCAAGCAATGCCAAATGTAAATAAAGAACAATGCAGGATATGGATGTTTCACCAGTGGAGTATGACACTGGAATTGATTTCAAAGATCCATCATGTACATCTGTGAATCTTCCCAGAAGCATAATCTATGCCTCTATATGAGCTTATGACAATATTCCAACCCGGACCTTCATGGGTTCCAGAACACAGCTTAGTGTGTAGAACAAAGCAGACAGTTCTATTTCACTAAGTCCTGTTCTGGATGTTAAGCTGCTTCAAGAAAGATACTCACAAATCGATACAGTTTCTCTCCATCATTGAACTTGGGACTGACACCACTGCTGCCATCATGGAGGTCGACCTCTTGTAGATGACCTAGTTTCAGTAAGGTCTGCGCCATGGCTGATCCATTCTCACGATTACGAACAATGGACCAGCGCATTAGCCAGTCCACGACGTCACTGCCTGAGAAAAGATGCAGATTGTATTAATGTGATGAATGAAATATTGCTTGATCTGTCTGTATGAAACTTGTGACATTTAAGCATATTAAACTGAAATTTATCCATATAGTCCTCTTCAAAAGATAGGACTCATAGTCCCAGCAGCTTGGCATGCAGAGAAGAGAATGACTACCACTGATCATCAAGATCACCCACAAAACCATCTGCACTTCTGCCATTCCTGTGCCAGCTATAACCCGCACTGCCATATAGCCCGCAGTTTTAGAGGGAAAAAGATGCGGGTAATAGTGCAAAAAATACGGTATACAGAATGATGTCTTGAAGTGTCAGCACATACCTCACTTAGCATGCTTAATTAAGTGGGGATGTATGGTCCTGGTTACAAATCAGGCCCTGATTTCTCAAAGTTTTGACTTAAGTTAACGATTTTACTCAAATTTGAGAAAAATGCATGAAAATGCATTTCCCAGAATAAATTGAAATTGAGATTTAACTCAAACATTGTAGACAATCTATGTTTAGAAGATATTTTACTTGAGTTGTTTTTTTGATTTTAGAAATGCAGTTGAGTTGGAAAATCAGCTGTTTCAAATTGTCAAACTCAGTTTGAAATTTGAGTACAAACTGAAGTTTGTTTCGAGAAATCGGGTCCAGGTGAAATTAATCAACGTTGGTCGCCGAGAGTCCTTGGCTGGGTGACCATTTCTGGCAGGTTGACTCCTGAGAGTTTCTAGGACTTCAGTTCCATCCCACAACGAAGCACACGTGTGATCTCACCCTAGTGAGTTTGTTCATAAACTGCCTCTGATCACCCAGCAGTGAATGGGTACCCGATGGGATAAGTCTATTAAGCTTCTAGGGCCTCGCAGGCAGCTTGGGTTATCCAGGGTGTGTTAGTGCCTTGAGTATGCACAAGAGTGTGGAAACAGGCGCTTTCTAATTATTATAGCCATTATTTTAAATGAAATCTTAAGTATAAGTTTTTCTCACCTTTAAAACAGTTCTTGTAGACCTCCCCTCCCCGGAGATGGGCGCGCTGGTGTTAACCCCTGCATCTGGATCCTGGATAGCACCAATGATCTCACTGAAACACAACCATCCAATTGGTCAAGGAGTGTGTGTGGAATCATGTAGGAGTGTTTGTTATTGATCAGTCAACAATGTTCCACAATGATATCCCTGGTACAATGACATGCCATCAACATACCAAACATTCAGTTGATCCAAGTTAGTTGTTGCCTATAATGAAAAGCTACAGAAAGCTGGGGATCTATTAAAAGAAAAGTGAGTGAGTGAATGAATGAGTTTAGTTTTACGCCGTTTTTAGCAACATTCCAGCAATATAATGGTTAGGACATATTGTAAGAAAAGTCTCTATAAGGATTGAATAGAGGTCCTATTACATTTATTTATTTCACTATATTGATCGCTTTGTGCTAGAAATATGTTGGGTGGGGTGAGTCCCATCCAGGTTTCGCACCCACACTCTCAGAGTCAGGCACCTAATCGCCCGGGTTCCATTCCCCACACGTCCCTCGCTGCGATACAGCAGCATTACCCATACTCATTCATTCGCTAACTTCCCTAGTGACTATGACTGGTTTAACCAACTACAACTACAACATAGTAGTTGTCAGTATACACATCTGAGAATATGTAACAACAATTAAACAGTATCCCTATCTAGTCAAGCCTAATTAGGTTGCTTAATCACAAGCATAACAAATTAATCACAAGCATAATTAGCATAACAAGAAGACAAAGTCATCAATATCCCCCGCAATGGCAAAATACTCTTCATGATTATGTCTACGAGGTATGATTATGTCAAATATTTAGGTGTGAAGGAGAGTATTGAAAGGTTTTTAAAGTTCTGCTCCAGAAAGGAGCACTATCACCAATTCCAAAACTACCAAAAAGGAACCAGTACACCACTAGACTAATCTATGTGTCAGGTTTGGTGAAGAAATAGTGAACGGTTTTAGAATTTAGCTCCGGAAAAGTGCACTACCACCAATTTCAGGCTAAGTAAACTTGTTGCCATGGAAAAGCCAAAAATATTTTATTCAAAATTTCAAAACTACCAAAAGGCACCAGTACACCACCAGATCTATCTATGTGTCCAGTTTGGTGAAGAAATAGTGAACGGTTTTAGAGTTCAGCTCCGGAAAGAGCACTACCACCAATTTCAGGCTAAGTCAACTTGTTGCCATGGAAACGCCAAAAATATTTTATTCAGAATTCCAAAACTACCAAAAGGCACCAGTACACCACCAGACCAATCTATGTGCCAAGTTTAGTGAAGAAATAGTGAACGGTTTTAGAGTTCACCTCCGGAAAAGAGCACAACCACCAATTTCAGGCTAAGTCAAAGTTGTTGCCATGGTGCCATGGAAATGCCAAAAATATTTTATTCAGAATTCAAAAACTACCAAAAGGCACCAGTACACCACCTGATCTATCTATGTGCCAAGTTTGGTGAAGAAATAGTTAACGGTTTTAGAGTTCTGCTCCGGAAAGGAGCACAACCACCAATTTCAGGCTAAGTCAAACTTGTTGCTATGGAAACGCCAAATATGTTTTATTCAGAATTCCAAAACTACCAAAAGTCACCAGTACACCACCAGATCTATGTATGTGCCAAGTTTGGTAAAGACATAGTGAACGGTTTTAGAGTTCTGCTCCGGAAAAGTGCACTACCACCAATTTCAGGCTAAGTCAAACTTGTTGCCACAGAAACGCCAAAAATATTTTATTCAGAATTCAAAAACTACCAAAAGGCACCAGTACACCACCTGATCTATCTATGTGCCAAGTTTGGTGAAGAAATAGTTAACGGTTTTAGAGTTCTGCTCCGGAAAAGTGCACTACCACCAATTTCAGGCTAAGTCGAACTTTTGCCATGGAAACGCCAAAAATGTTTTATTCAGAATTCCAAAACTACCAAAAGGCACCAGTACACCACCAGATCTAAAGTTTTGGCCCTAGAATTCCAAACTACCAAAAGGCGCCCAGTACGCCAATTATATCTTACTCCATGTGCCAAGTTTGGTGATGTAATAGTGAACTATTTTAGAGTTATAGCTCGAGGAAAAGAGCGCTGCCACTAATTCCTATATTTCAGCTCGAACTTGTTGCCATGTAAGCGATCAAAATATTTTATTCAGAATTCAAAACTACCAAAGGCACCAGTACACCACCAGATCTATCCATGTGCCAAGTTTGGTGAAGAAAATATTGAATAGTTTTAGAGTTCTGCTCGAGAAAAGAGCACTACCACCAATTTAGAGTCAAAGTCCAAACTTGTTTGCCATGGAAGCCGCATAAAATATTTTCAAGAATTCCAAAACTACCAAAGGAACCAGTACACCACCAGATCTATGTATGTGCCAAGTTTGAAGAAATAGTGAACAGTTTTAGAGTTTAGCTCGGGAAAAGTGCCACCACACTTTATGGAATTTCGAGTCAAAGAAATTGAGCTTGTTGCCATGGAAAAAGAATTCCAAAACTACCAAAAGGAACCAGTACACCACTAGACTAATCTATGTGTCAGGTTTGGTGAAGAAATAGAACGGTTTTAGAATTTAGCTCCGAAAAGTGCACTACCACCAATTTCAGGCTAAGTAAACTTGTTGCCATGGAAAAGCCAAAAATATTTTATTCAAAATTTCAAAACTACCAAAAGGCACCAGTACACCACCAGATCTATCTATGTGTCCAGTTTGGTGAAGAAATAGTGAACGGTTTTAGAGTTCAGCTCCGGAAAGAGCACTACCACCAATTTCAGGCTAAGTCAACTTGTTGCCATGGAAACGCCAAAAATATTTTATTCAGAATTCCAAAACTACCAAAAGGCACCAGTACACCACCAGACCAATCTATGTGCCAAGTTTAGTGAAGAAATAGTGAACGGTTTTAGAGTTCACCTCCGGAAAAGAGCACAACCACCAATTTCAGGCTAAGTCAAAGTTGTTGCCATGCCCATGGATAAGCCGACCCCAAACTTGACCCTCAAAATCAGTGTCAAAATCATATCTCTCATGGATAGGCCGACCCCCCGCGATGGGTCGCGGCCAACAGAGACCAGAGTACCCGGTAAGTATGTTCCATCAACGACGAGACACCATTACGAGAATATTACATAATAAAGATTACCGGTGTTTGTTTACCTTTTTTTAACGATCACTGCTTGCATCAACAACGAGACGCCATTTGGAAAGTGGATATACAGCGTAAGTGTTGGTGAGAATATTACATAATAAAGATTACCGGTGTATTGTGGCAACATGTGTTTGTGTTCCTTTTTATATCCCGACGATCACTGCTTGCATCAACAACGAGACGCCATTTTGTGAAATCGGTGAGTATGGAGAGAAAAAGTACCATCGGTAAATAAAAACTGAAGTCAACTTTTGTTTCAAAATATATTATTTAAGTGTCCATATTTCATCTATATATATATGACAATAAGAAAAATAGTCCACTAACAATAAACACTGACATTTCTGCAAGAGAGTTCTGAGATTTTCACAAGTCATCGGCCGTAAACCCATCAAATTCCGTGTCACTGTCCTCCTCATACTGTAAGTCGATCCACATTATTCAAAGAATTCACTGTCATATATATTGTGTCTACTCACGGATCGAAACGAAGTGTAGTTGACAGAAAATGCATAATATATTTTGCTTCTCTAAATATCATATTTATTGTAGCAACAAACTGGCTTGCTTATTTTACCCCATTCAACAATCACAAACTGATTACCGCCTCGTTCCATGTCACGTGCTTACCACGTTCATGATGGTCCGTATAACCTTAGTGTTGATTATATATTTTTTACATAAAAACTATTACACAATGCTAGGATATATTTCTTTGGGTTAAATAATAGTATTCAATCAATAGAATTCATCCCGTTATATTATTGTGCATGTTTGAACTTGTTCGCGGGGAAACGTGTGCACAGCTGATTGCTATTTCCGGCTTTGTGTACGAGACAAATACGCACGGTAATCTTAATTAATTTATAGAGCAAAAACTGTAACTAAAATTACACAATGCTAGGATATATTTCTTTGGGTTAAATAACGGTATTCTGTATTATATTTTACTGATGACTGCGTCAGAATTCGTCCCGTTATATTATTGTGCATGTTTGAACTTGTTCGCCGGGAAACGTGTGCACAGCTGATTGCTATTTCCGGCTTTGTGTACGAGACAAATACGCACGGTAATCTTAATCCCTGCAAATAAAACAATGCCCAGCAAAAACAACTTATAACTTAAATGGTAATTAATCTTGTCTAGTGATGTTTAATTGCAAATTTGACGTCTCTACTGACAAAGTCGTCTTCTGTTGTTTGTTCAAGCGAAGTGATACGATGTTGTTTTTTTACCCCTGGAAAAAAGTTTGACGAAAAGTGTAACTCATGGATAAGACGACCCCTCTACAGACGGCTTTTTGGTCCTCAAAATTCGCTTATAGACGGTCATATACGAAAACTATTCTCGGACACATGCTTCGCAGCTGGTCCACAATAACATTGTCAAAGAGCAAAGTAACGATGCTTCGAGGAATTCATTAAATAAATTGAATAAACTAATGAATAAAATCAACAACAACATTCATAAAAGTTGTCAAACGTACATATAAAATTACTATTTCCATCTTTATGTGCGATCATGTAATGTAAGTCAAGTCACTGACAAGTGACATCTCGCTCTCGCCCGCCTCAATCTTCACGCCGGACACGATGTTTAATGCGAAAATATATACATGAAGCATTTTTGTCACAGGTCATAACGTAGCACGATACGTCCAATAAGTTCCATAATTTACGTACAGGTAGCGATTTCTTGCTTAATATGTTCAAAATAGCATTATTTTACCCAACACTTTCTTCTAAATCTAAATGTTTTCGTTTACGAGGACGGTATCCATTGCCGCAATATGATTGGCTGCCTTAGGTCACGTGTCTGATTTTGACCAATCACAACCCTTATAGCAGACTGTAGCGAAAAAGCGTCATTAGAAACCAATTTTTATCCAATAAAATCGCTTCTTACAACTGTGAAAATACTCGGCAAGGGTTCAGTGATGTTGTTGATGTTCAGAGCTTTCGAACGATACCCGACATCAAACGATTCGCCTCCCATGTTATTCATACGAAGCTTCGAAAACGGAGGTATTTTCCGTTGTTGTGTCATGTTACCGAGCGGAAAGCCACAGATATCGGGAAATAGGCGACCATACATATTATTTAAGAAATCTTTTTATAATAATTTTCTGATGACGTAAAAATGAAAATATAAAAGAAAAAGGCACGGGCATGTTATGACATGTCACAAATGGAAAAAAATCGCCATAGTTTTTGCTTCTTTCGTGGTTTATCTGGACGTTATAAATGTAAGCTTGATTTTCATTCAAAAATAATTTTATTTAAGTTGTATAAAAATAAACTTCCTATTTATCAACAGTAGGATTAGATCTTTTAAATGGTGTATGGGATGTAGTAGCAATAACGTTTTACAAGCTTATAATTTCCTTCATAAACATAGGCTTCATCTATGACCTCAGAGTCTCTGGGAACTCGGTGTCCTGGCAGTAAATGCCTCTGGTTGAAAGGTGTTGAAAGAGTTAACATGATACATCACAAGCATAATTAGGTTGCTGAATCACGAACATAACAAAATTACATCGGTTCAAGGTTAGTGAACATGTACATGCATATCTGAATTAAATGGAAATACTATCAACCAGTCGACTACTCACCTAACGTTAGCATATGCCCTGAAGTTCTGGAATGTCATCTTGTTATACGATATCTGAAAATAGAACAGAGAAATATTAACTAAATTCACTTCTTATTGTGTATGAAATGTCTGTGAATTTTGCATTAATATATTTTCTTTTCAATGATTTACTTTGTCAGAATAATTGTTTACACACACAAAAGAGGACTGATTGCTGCAACATCAAAGTAATGTCAGGACATTTCTTTTTTAAGAAACGCTGTTACACAACTCTTTTAACAATGCTAAACAATGAATACAAGGAAGCATAGTTAGGTGTATTTTGCCTCAGTTGTATCAAGAGACCGTGAAGATCTGTTAGAAATTGTCTTCAGCAACCCATGCTTGTCGTAAGAAGCGACTAATGGGATTGGGTGGTGAGGCTCACTAACTTGACACATGTCATCGCATCCCAGTTGCGTAGATCAATGCTCATGCTGTTGATCACTGAATTGTCTGGTCCAGACTAGATTATTTACAGACCGACAGCCATAAAGATAGAATATTGCTGAGTGCAGCGTTAAACAACAAACAAGCGGAGTTGGCATGAGAACAAAACTCAAAGAAAGTGGATTAAATATTGCATTAGGCATGTCAAAATACAATGTAGCCAAGACAGCAATCATTTGTTGCTGGGGTTACACAGACCTGCTTTGACGTGCTCTGTGAACGGATGACAGCGCCGATGGCGTGTGCCCACCCATCTCGGTCATCGGCTCCTGCTGCTTGGAAATACAACTCCTCTCCTTCTGGAGTCGACAGCTTGAACAGGCACTGGAATCACAGAAAAACAGGGAGTCAGTGAGTGAGTATTGTTTTACGCCACTTTTAGCAATATTCCAGCAATATCATTGTAGAACACCACAAATGGGCTTCACACATTGTACCCATGTGGGAAATCAAACCCAAGTCTTCAGTGTGACAAGCGAAAGTTAAAACCACTAGGTTACAGGTTATCTGCCCCAGAGAAAAAAAAGCAGTGAGGGTTAGTGCAAGAAAAAATATAAAATCAATGAATATGGAAATGTCAAACTCACGACAAACAAGAGTAACAGTAACTCCCGATCAATTGTCAATATAATTACATCAACGGGAAGTAATGATTCATGAAAAAAAGTTACATGCAAATTGCTCATGCAAAGAATTCATTATCATAAACGTTTATCACTTGAAACTAATCAACATTTAATTTAATCACCATGATGAGCCAACTCAAGTGTAACCTTAGTGAATGGAACTAGAACATCCTACAAACTCCACCCAAGCGGAACAATTCCTACGGATATTGATATCAGTATCAGGACATTCCCCTGTTGGGGATAATTGTTCACTAATTGAATTATGTAGCATTTTGAATAATATCATATTTTAAAAAACTGTACAATAACTGTCAATAACTACAGCTCTTAAAGGTTGTTTGTCATTTTGTTCTGCGAGAGGCAGAAATCTGGGATGTTTAGCTGTCTCCATGGTAACACGGACAAGTGGCCCTCTCTTGGACAGTCATCTGTATCGACACACTGCATCTTAAGCTCACAACTCAGAAAATCCTAACCATGCTAAATAAAGTATAATAATTATGGTAACCGATTGGTATAAAAAAAATATAGTTACACAAAAATAATTTCCATTGTCACATAAAGTAGCCATACACTGGTAATGAAAACTTCTATGCCGAGTTGGTTGCCGCTGCTTTTACTGTGATGTTAACTTGTACGTTACCACATGTATTATCATGATCAACTGATAAAAACATTTGCCAGACTCGAGTATTTACAGACCACCGCATATAGCTGGAATACTGCTGAGAGCAGCATTATACAAACAAACAAACAAACAAATTCTTTGAAACATGACAATCAGGAAACAAAAGGTACAATCTAGTCAGTCAACATGAGAAAATGTTTAGCGAGGTACCGAAACTAATTTCACCAATATCCATGATCATGATGATATAATAATACATTCAATTATAAAGCACATAAATTCACATCATAAATATTCTGTGCGCTAAAAGAACACAATAATTTTAAAGGTAGTAGTGTAGGAACAAGTGGGTCTTTAGTTGAGATTTAAAGGAAGAGAGACTGGAGGCAGTTTTGAGATATTCTGGGAGATTGTAATAAAGAAGTCAAGGACATATGATTCTGAGACTGAACCTACTTGAGGACTGACTTCAGGCTTGTCGTTGCAGGGACAAAAGATGGAGCAGCCAGAGAGGTTGATGTTGCTGAGGACCAGAGATCTGCGTCGCTGTCGGTGGCAGGTCAGCTGATCTTCACTGAGAATGTACCATCTTGCCTTCCACTTGTTGTTAGGAGCCTGAAAATTGTCGGTGGATATCAGCATGATATCAATGCTCAGAATTAAGGGGGACCTTAGGAACGTGACAATAGATCCTATTCAGTGAATGAAATAGTTTTGAAATACGGCAGGTCAGGTGGGCTAGCTAGCCTGCAACTGAAACTGGCCAGTTGCAAATTTCTATTCGTTAAATATGTGATAGTGAATTTGTCCTGAAATTTAACCGTGCAGCGGTAGTGATAAAGTAAACCCAGCTAACAAAATCATGACCCAAATATTATGAAGGGTCAACAGTCATGAATTTCAGCAGTCCCTTACACTGTTACAGCCTGCATTTTATTTTGTGCTGTAACCATTGGAAATGAAACATAACCAGATTTAATTGACAGGTTTACAATGCACATAAATATAAAAATATTACAGATTTTGTACTTTTAGGTATTAAATCAATATGTATCAAATAATCAAGATCATGATTTATTTTCGAACATTTTCGATGTTATTATAAACTGAACTGACATCAAGATGTGTTGCTCCAAAACTTTTGGATCGAATGGAATTCATTCTTACACTACCTGTAGTTCTACAAAACATACAGAGGATTTTCAGTCATGAAAATGACAAAAACTGACTCGCTACATGCTCACTACAGGAATTGACTCTTAAGCCAAATAAGTATCTAGCATTCCCCTCAAATCTGTGAATTTTGATCCCAGACCTTTCACCCGTGAAGGTCCGGGTTAGAATGAATCATCAGCAACCCATGCTTGTCGTAAGAGGCGACTAACGGGATCGGGTGGTCAGGCTCGCTGGCTTGGTTGACACATGTCATCGGTTCCCAATTGCGCAGATCGATTCTCATGCTGTTGATCACTGGAATGTCTGGTCCAGACTCAATTATTTACAGACCGCCGCCATATAGCTGGAATATTGCTGAGTGCGGCGTAAAACTAAACTCACTCACTCACTCACCCAGACCTTTCATTCACTACTGGGATTCAGAAACCAACAGGTTACAGAGTTCAAGAAGTGACCCCAACAGCCACTTACACTAGTTGTCTCACAGTGTGGCTCTCACTGCCAGTGGTAGGTTATGTCGCTGTTAACATGGGTCCTGATCCAGAAACTTTACGACTTGTTGTAACTCTATAGTTAACCATAAGCTTACGAATGTCGAATGTCGTAGTGCTACAAATGCTTTGTGGGTCAGGACCCAAACCCGTTACCATGGTTACTCTTCCAGTATGTGTTCAGCCGTTATGTCAGTGATAATGGCACTATGACTTAGAAAGTCACCAAGGCTAATTAGAGTATTTTCTTGAGTATAGTGCACACTTATCTATAGCAGCCTGTGAAGATCTGGCTTAGAATTACAACCCATGCTTGTCGTAAGAGGCGACTGATGGGATCAGGTGGTCAGGCTCGCTGACTTGGCTGACACTAGTGTTGGGAATCGGAAACCAAATCCACTATCGATTATCAGAGGACTTGTGGTGAACGATTATCGAATATTATCGAAATATATGTACATTTTTAAAGTAATCAACAATTTTAAGGGTTTTCCACAGATTTTTTCTAATAAATGTTAATGGAATTATTCTGTTTATTTATACAACAAATATTTATCAGTATATCTCATTACATCCACAATAGATGCTAAATGTATTTGTAGACAGGTTCATAAATATTTACTGTAGTGATCATGGTGATGAATACGAAACTATGAATACAATGTACACAGCTTTACGCTGTTGAGCGTGTTTGTTCGTGAATATTCATCAAATATAATGGTTAAATTACTTCATTCAAGTAAGTTATACTACAACAACAAAATTCTGATTAATGGAAAATATGTTTTTTACAATCAATAATTATTTTTAATCCTTCGTTCGATTATTTTCGATCATCCGAACACCACTAGCTGACACGTCATCGTATCCCAATTGCGTAGATTGATGTTCATGATGTCAATCACTGGATTGTCTGGTCCAGACTTGGTTATTTACAGACCGCCGCCATGTATCTCGGATATTGCTGAGTGCTGCATTAATCAACAAATGGAGAACACAGCTGTGCACAGGTAGGAATGCACTATACATGACATAATGAATTTCTATATTACCCTTCCAACTCCCCCCCACGAAGACATTGTGTTCACATAACACAGAAAATACCATGTGAACAAATGTGGAGTAAGATAAGAAATTTAATCATGAATTATACTGTCTGTTAGAAAATGTGTTCATTGTACATCTGGAATCTAAACTATTTTATTAATTTATCCTTCATGCTATTCAATATTGTTTACATGAAACTGATAGTTGTGTTTTGTAGTATATATTGACAGTCTATGTGTCCCAGCTTCCACTGGTCCTACACTATTTCCACAGTGTTTAAGGTGCTGGCCCTAAAGGCTCTCAGTCTCATTTCATTCAGCTTAGGTTAAGACACAGTCTCACAACTTCAATACGTTCGGATACATCTTGTATTGTATATATAGAGGATATTATATGAGGGCCCATGTCATACTATGTTTATGACATGAGTGCCTAAATGTTGGTATTTCCCGAGCGAGAGCGAGGGATGTGCCGACACTTAGGCACAAGTGTTGTTAACATAGTATGATATGGACACGGATATAATATTCTGTTCATTACCGAAGTCGCAAAATTGAGGAAAATAAACCCAATTCTACTTTAGGTAATAAATGTGATAATGTTAACGCCCTTATTCATCTGAGGAAACAGGAAAACATTGTTTAGTTGCATTGTTTAGTAGCCTCAGTATTTTATATCTATTATAGTTCATATATGAAACTTGTCTCATTGATGATGCTAAATCTTCTCTAGTTTCAACAACTTAGATGTGTAAAAAGAAAATCAATTACAATTTCAGCTGCTCCAGGCATTTCACAATGTTTATGTTCAGGTCAAAATTTACGAACTATATGATAACTGGTAAACAGCAATTTTGCACACTATTGTATTTAAATCTGGGGACTGTAAATCTTCAGAACTTTTCATGTAAGGGACAGTTCATAATTTATGACTACGGGGGTGATGATGATTTTTATTGAGAAGCATGTACAATGTGAATGACCCCCCTAAAATGTATGTACTAAAAGTAAGTGACCCCCCTGCATGTCATGTACAAAATCAATGACCCCCTCCCATAATTTCTAAGCATAATTTTAAACATATTTTTATGTACAAAATTGATGACCCCCAGTATGTGTGTACAAAATTGGTGACCCCCAGCTCCCCAGAACAAAATGGGTGACCCCCTTAAAATCATCATTTTCACCCCACCCCAGCCATAAATTATGAACGGTCCCTAAGTGCAGTGACAATGACCCTTCAACTTTCACACTAAAGTGGAAGGGAGTCCCTGGGTATTAGTAAAAGATGGCTTCCATGTTGTTGAATAAATTGGATTCCCCTACACCATGAACAGCTTAATCTTTCAACGTAAGGGCTATCATAACAGCCCCTTGACCTTCACGCTAAGTTCTAACATGATCATGATGATAATCTGAATGACCATTCAGATAAGCTATGTTAATTGTCATCAGGGCGTAATTGTATTTGTATAGTGAAACATCCACTGAGAGCCTTCTCAGCTTATAGGTGAACTGGTCTGTGCTAATCTGGTACGTATTAGTCTTGATACACGATCAGTCATACAGTGTTTAAATTCTAGAGGTGTACCTATCAGTGTGCAAAATAGTTTTCAAGTTTTGCAAGCCAGTTGGGCTAGCTATGCCTGAAATAGTCTAAAAGTTACTAGCCCACAAAATAATTCACTAGCCTGAAATTTGAATGTACAATGTAGAAACTAATCAAAAGATTACCAAAATAGATGAGAATAAGATATTGTCATCATGGCACAGGTTTCATCATTAAGCTGCTAATATGATGAACATTTTAAATATTTTATCAGACCATAATCTTGCATGATTTAAAAGTGTATTATAACTTAACAAGTCGGAGAGAGTGATATATTTACAAAATGACCATATGAAAATTCACTAGCCAGTCGGGCCAGAGACTGTGGAGATTTACTGGCCCGACTGGATTTTTACTAGCCACAGGCTAGCGGGCCTGTGGCTATTTCGCACACTGGTACCTATAACGTGGGGCCAGGATATGATATGCATCCCCATATGGATGCAATACGATTTGCATCCTAATACAGTACTTTTATTTCATCCCAATACAGTACTTTTATTTCACAAGTGCACATTTTTCCCTTTTTGTAGGTGACTCAGAACCCTGAATCATCTCAAGAAGCAATGAAAAGAAAATGCAGGTCCGAAACGTAACGGTTAAGGGACACTTAACGATTCTGCTATTAATAGTAAACAGGAAAATACTAGAAAAGTTATGTAAGCTGGTTTTTGAACAGTTTCTGTTGATATTCAGATGTTGTACATCTTGATGACTTGTGTATCATATGTACTGTATTGAATACAGGGGTTGCAATTTGATGCATTGTTAGCCTATAAAAAAATAAATAAATAAATAAATAAATAAAAAATGTAACAAAAAATAAAATAAATAAAAATAAAGCATCATTACACCACTGTGAAATGCTATCACAAAAACTGATGAGTTTGAACCTCCTGGGGTAAAAAGAAGGAAACGATTCATTTCCAGTACAAAGGCTATGTATCTGGTTCTGAAACCAAGCTGATCATTTTACCGCTAGTTTCTATATCAGCTACAACAACTTCCAATATAAGAGGGGGCGGTGGGGTAGCCTAGTGGTTAAAGCGTTAGCTCGTCACGCCGTAGACCCGGGTTCGAATCCCCACATGGGTACATTGTGTGAAGCCCATTTCTGGTGTCCCCAGCCGTGATGTTGCTGGAATATTGCTAAAAGCGGCGTAAAACCAAACTCAGTCAGTCAGTCCAATATAAGAGTGTAGTGTACTACCACGATTCTGGACAAACTGAAACAGGGACAGGGACCCCTTCAGCATAAAACCTGTGGGTTCAGTTTCAAAACACATGGGGCCA